TTTTTTCTTGACGATCGTTCAACAAACAATCTTTCAAATATTCCATAGAGCCGGCCTATCTTAGATACATATGGTTCAGTGCAGAAAGTTTTATTACACCTTCCACTGGCAATTTTATTAGAAATGACGGTAATCAGCTGATACTCGCAATCATCCCATCAGCTAAAACTACTTCATTAGTAGCAAAACGCTTCTAGGAGAAGGTGCATGAAAAAAGCCTGTTCGGGCTCCTGCTTGCGAGCGCAAGTTTATTGCGTGAAAGTGCATATTTGCATTCATTTAAACATTATATTAAACGTAACTCCTACCTTTTCATTTGGGATATACCCTACACCATAGACCATGGAATCTTTACACTCAAAGCCATTATCATAATGAGCTGCTACACATGTTGTTTGTGTCTACAAAGTTACTTATTGTAGCTGTTAAACAAAGAGGCCTTTAACGTACGTCATCAGACTCATCAGCATCTTTATTACAAAAGAATGGTTGGGGATCGTCGATTGGAACAGCTCCTTCTCGATTGTAAAGCCTCGATTCACCTGTGAATGAAATGTCTAACACAGTGTCGTTCAACAGCCTTAGGTGTCCAGCGATCGTGGTGCTCGGAAGGTCGACGCCATTCTCGAGGACGCATTGAACCGTGGGGAAAGAAAACAGGCTCCAGAACAATGCAAAGAGCATAAGTGCAAAAGGTGAAAGGACCAAAATGAGAGACACTCAACCATCTGGGGCTATATAAACCTTTACCTAGCCAAACAAGTGTAAACATTGCACCGTTGCTAATGACATCATTTTTAAAATAAATCTTGTGTTTTGGGTAGCTCTCCGTATTAGGTTATCGGATAAACTCATGCAGTTTATACACCTTGAAAAATTAAAAGGTTGGCTCCTATTTTCCATACCCCTAGAAAGATAGTCTTAGTTTATGCAATGAGTTGCTTGTCACGAAATCAACATGGTCTTAGCAAACTTCATTGAAATGAAACATTGGAAGAAAAAATAAATAGTAACAAAAAATTTCGACGATAAAACATCGTAGCTAGTGGGGGGATTAAAATCAGCGACCTATGTGAAAAATAATTTCCATACATCTCTGTTTGAACGGATATAATCGTGCTATTCATGGTTTACCTATCGAAACCCTAGACGCTTCCTCGAGTGCAAAACGGTCGTGATATGCAGCAAAATAATCGCGATAAGTGGTAGTGAACTCGAAAATCTTCAAATTTCACATCGTTACCATCAGCTGTCCTTCGAAGCG